TGTTTGGTCCCCAAAGGGGTTGCAACCTCCAGGTTGAGAACTGCTATTGTAAACATTGCTGCATGGAGCATTGAAAGTAGCCAAGACATACTTTTGTGTAGATGCTTTGAAGCCATTGCAGTTTCCCTATCTCCAAGAGAATAGATGAGAAGGAGATGAAGCTTGCATGTAGCAATGCCTGTAAGACTCCCAACACATGGTTAGTCATTGCTTTCTCTAGAGAGGGCAGAAAGGCTAACGTATTTGTGGGCCCAGGGTGGGTGGGCACCACTACAATGAACAAATATGTGATGGAGAGAAGGCAAAGAGAAAAAACTGAGTGATGCATGCACTATGGAGAGAGGCTGTGATGACAGTGACAGGTGGAAGAGGGCTTAGGTCTATGTGCTGTTGTCACCCAGGAGGGTCAGCAGGATGGGGTACAACAGCCTGGAGCTTATGCAGACCCAGACTCATCTCCCAAACCTGCCGCCCGGCTGCAGCGTCCTCTGGCTTTGGGCAATGATGGAGGTGGGGGATGAGGAAAAGTTCCCTTTCTGGATTGGACCTTCTCAAATGCTCACTGGCCCTGTAATGCCACCAGAGTTCATCTTGGTATCGGTGGCTCATGCTGCTGTCCCAGGCTGCGATGAAGTCTGAGATCCATGGGACATATGTAGTCTGTGCTGCTGCCTGGCGTCCTCAGGCTTTGCTGCCTGGGGGAGCCATATGCTGATGTGAGTGGCACGTATAACTACCTGAGGCCACGTTGAAGCTTGTGATCCTTTCAGATGCTGAGGGCCATGAGTGGGTCCTCATATGGCCAAGGGTCATGTTGATGTCTGTGGCTCCTGTTACCACTGAAGCCCATGAGGATGTCCAGGATCTAAAGTCATGTTAACGTCGGTGGGGTCAGGAGACCTGGTCCTGCCCTTTGCTGGCCAAAAGAAAGGGCTTTGGCATGGGCCTTGGCAGGAGATGCCCCTTGATCTCTGATCCTGGAAGTCTCTAACTCCTCAGGACCTAGAAGTCCTTTTTGTCTCACTCTGCCACAGTGCACCTAGCTCTGGTCATGGCAGACCCTCAGGAATCTTCTGGTCACCCTGGAACCTAGTGTAGTCATATTTCTGAGAATTAACTGCTTGTGAAGCTATACTGTTGGTGGCAGCCTTCCTCCACAGCCTGCTCTTCCCTCCCCACTGTCTCTGACTTCCAGCACGGAGTGGGGTTGCCTTACTGCTTGGGGGATGGGAAGCCCAATGTATGCTGGGGGTGGGTGCCCTAGGAGTGGGGGTTCTCCTCCAGCCATGTCCAGGCACACAGGACCATGGGGATACTCACTATTGCCCACTGGGGCTCCTCCTTGCCCTGTGACTCATGCTCTTGTCTTTATGGGAGACCATAGCCACGGGGCGAGCCGGATCCCCTGAACCACGCAGTGCACAAAGCTGGTAGAGGCTGTGATGCTGCCCTCTAGGGCAAGGTGTTCCCACTCTGGCGTCTCCTATCTGCATCATGACTTACAGAGTGTTTGGGAACTGTCTGGGCCTTACCTAATAGCTTTCCTAAGTTGACTTGATTTTTTTTTCAACCCTAGCATTTATTTTAAAAGGAAAAGATAATCATTACTCTAGTGGATAACTAGTGTCACTGGCCATGAATACAACATGATCATGAAGGTAAGTATTACTGAGATGATGAAGTCAGCTCCTTGAAGGTGTCACTAGGGGTTTACTGCTGGATCCCCAGTTCCCAAAGCAGGACCTGACACACAAGTTCTCAGGACAGAGTGTGCTACGGAGTCAGTGAGTGAATGCAGAAGGGAATGCGGGACCCAAGCCTCAGTGAAGAGCAGAGGTCACAGGGACCCTGAGGCCGGCCAGCCACAGATTCGGGTCACTGAAAGGGATTTGAAAAGGTGGGACTTCTCGATGTGTGCTTTGGAGTTCTTCAGTGATCTATGCAGATGCTGCCTCTGGGCACAACAAAGTTCAGGTGGCAGGCTCCTCTCGCCCATATCCAGGGGAGAGCAGAACCAGGGGAGCCTCCTTGGTCGAGCTGTCCATGTCCTTCTGTTCCCGTAAACTCATCTGACAAACAGGTGGATCGTGCCAGCCTCTGCTACCACATGCCCGTCTACTTGTGGCTAGCATGATCTTTGGGGCTTCCTGCTTCACCTTCCCCAACAGGAGACAGGATGGCCATGTGACCCTCCCTGCCTCCTCCCCACAGTGCCAGCCAGGCTGTGGTGGTGGCTGAGCTCAGGGCCTGGAGTTCGGGTCTTTGCCTGGCAGGAGCCTGTGGGGGTGGCTGCAGCATAGCATCCGGGTGGGAGGCCTGGCACAGGAAAGCTGACGTCATCTCTGACTCACTCTTCAGACACTCTCACCTTCATAACTACCCTGGCTCAAGCCTTTCAGCCCAGCCTCTCACATCTCCTCTCCTCCCTGGGCCATCTGCTCAAGGCTAGGCTTGGAAGGAGGAGGAAGAGAAAGGGCATCTGGGCAGAGCCAGGAGCATCTGACTGTGGAAGGGAAACCCATCCTGCGAGCAGGCTGGGTGGACAAACCGGAATCCCAAAGGCAGAAAGCCAGTGACGTCTAAGCAGCCATCCAAATAAATGGTTACAGAAAATAACACAGAGAATCATCATTTGTTCCAGTTGAGTCCCACACGGTTTTAATTGAAGAAAGAAAAACAAATAGAACCTGAGCCCCAAACTCGCTTGTTAGGTCCGACCCGTAATAAGAGCCAGGCATGAAAAACCTTAAACAGTAACCAACAGCTGTGTGATTACTTTCTGTCTAGTGATGCGGTACAAGGGCAGCCTGTGGAGCAGCCAGCCTGCCTGGGACCTCCCTCATGCCATCCCAGGGTATATCCAGAGTCCTGCCTCCTCCTGGAAGGCTCCCAGTGAATGATTCTGGAGAGCAGGGTCCTGAGAAGGTGGCAAAGGTTGCCAGACGTCCTGCAGATGACTCATTTGTGGCAGCATCCAAGGGTTGGTAGGGGGACCTTTAGTCAGAACACAGGTGTGGAGGGATGTGGGCTCTTCTACCCCAGCCTTGGACTTTCACCCTCATATTGAAGGTGGGGATTTCCCCTGCTTTGTGAATCCAGCAGAGGGTGAAAGCAAGCCCCTCTTTTATGGTTAATTTGGCCTCCTTGAGTTCATCTGTGTACATCAGAGCTAAAAAGGGGCCAGCTCCAAGGAGAGTGTCACAGGCCCACACTGGCTGAGATGCAAGGACTGACCTAAGAAACTTTCAGCAACACACTGTCACCCTGCAAGGAAGCCCAGCAGTTGAGTCCAGTATTAGAATCAGCAAGCTGGAGTTTCCCACTAAGATAAGTTGACTTCATTCCTGCTACAGGGACCTCAGCTGGCAGGGCCTCCCTCTTCTCCACAGCTGGAAGGCTGTGGCTCTAGGCATGACAGGTGACTCTGGTCAGCAGGACTAGACACGATAGTCCCTTTCTGCTCTGTAATTTGTCCCTGGAATCAGCCATTAAGTCATCTGTGAGGCTGATGCCAAGGATAAGCACCCCTATCAGCTTCAGGGATCTACGGTCCAGACTCCCTGGCTGGGCTGCTAGTTCTGCTGTATCAGCCTCCAGACTGGCTTGGTGGGAAGGGACCGAGGCTGTGGCCCAGCCTCACAGCCCTAGAACCAACCTACCTGATGGTGCCACGGAGACACCAGGGCCAGGAGTCCTTGTGGCTTCTCCCTTGCATTCTGTATCCCCTACAAGATTCAAGCTCCAGACAAAGAGGAAAAGTACAATATTTTGCTCTAGCACCCATATACTGTACCACATGCTGGGGGTCACACAGGTCCTAGCTGTAGGCCTCCAAGACAGTGGGGACATTGGGTCTGTAGGGAAGCTGGAAGGCTCTTACAAAAGGTATGGAGGAATAAGGGTTTGGGAGGTTGGGTTTGAACACTGTCCCCACCCACCATGTCTGCTTCAGATGGGGTTCAGCCACCTACCAACATTTCTTATCCCCAACCCAAGAGCCCCCAGGGCCCATGCACAGCTGGGCATCACCACATCCCTGAGGAGGGGGCTGGCACTTGGGTGGGGGAGGGCAGAATGGCTGTGGGTTAAACGGCTCTTCCTTCTTAAAGCTTGGTGTGGGACCACCAGGGCCTGTCCCAGGAGGGTGTCAGCTTTAGGGGATGGAAGGGGGTAGGTTTTGCAAGTGGCTCTCCTTCCCCTGAAATTCCCACCAGGCCTGGCTAGGCCCTGGGAGAGCCCAGCATCGTCAGCAGAGTTCCCCTTCAACCCTGCCGGTGACATGGGAAGTGCTTCTTTTTGGGCCCTTGGGGGTTTCCCTGGGCCTCTGGGGAAAGAAGCAGTCCCAGTCATAAATGGAAACTCGTCACAGGCCCCTGATCCCCTCCCCCCATAATGCCCCCATACCAGGGCTTTGGCTGCAAGGGGCTGCTCCAGCCAGGACAACTTTTTGCAAAACCTGACTGGGGTAGAAGGGAACAGGCATTTTCCTAAGGCCTCTAAAATTACACAAGTGGCGTGATGGTGTGCTTCCTTCTGATGTATCATCATCGTTAGCAACAGGTAATTTTGTTAACGAAATTCTTAGAATGTAACCCCTGGGAGAGAATGGGAAAAGCGAGGAAGCCTACGACCCCAGTAACTCGAAGGCCCTGTGCAGCCAAGAAGCTGAGTTCCCAAGCACTTAGCAGCCTGAGGCCAGGCGGATCGGGGAGCACCCGAGCTGGGGAGACGTGGGTGGGGCCTCTAGACTCTTGACACTTGTCACGGTCTGGTCCCCAGTTTCTTCCCCCTCGAGTCCCTCCTCCAGATGACCCCCCCTTCGTCCGCTCCGGGGGCCCTGGGGCGGCCCAGCCCGAGTCCCACGTGAAGTCGCGGGGGCGGGCGCCGGCGCCTTCCTGCTCTACCCTTGTATGGTAACCCCAGGGGCCGGCCCTTGAGTACATAAGCCCAGGCGCGACAAGGCTCGCCCAGAGCTGACAGTTCCGGCCACACTGTCGCAGCCCCGGGAGCAGGGGAAGGGCGAGACCAGGGAGAGGATCACGGGGATTAAGAGGCTTTGCAATGCCGATTGCCATGAGGCTGGAGACAGCGCAGGAGCTGGAGTGTGCGGCGCTGGGCGCTTTGCTGCGGGAGCCGCGGGAGGCCGAGGGCACGCTGCTACTCGACTGTCGACCGTTCCTGGCCTTCTGCCGGAGCCACGTGCGCGCCGCGAGGCCCGTGCCCTGGAACGCGCTGCTGCGGCGCCGTGCGCGCGGTACCCCCGCCGCCGCCCTCGCCTGCCTCCTGCCAGACCGCGCGCTCCGGGCACGCCTGGGTCGCGGGGAACTGGTCCGCGCAGTGGTGCTGGACGAAGGCAGCGCATCTGTGGCAGAGCTCCCGCCCGACGGCCCCGCTCACCTGCTGCTAGCTGCACTGCTGCACGAGATGCGCGCAGGATCCACAGCCGTGTGCTTCCTGCGAGGTGAGCCCGCGCCCTGCACCCCGCGTCCTGCACCTGTCACCCTGAGCCTCAGCTTTTTGGCTAACCTTGCCTTTTCTTTCTTGCTCTCTACACAGGTGGCTTCCAACGCTTCCAGGCATGCTGTCCTGATCTATGCTCTGAAACCCCTGCCCAGGCACTATCTCCTGCCGGGGCAGAAAATAACAGCTCTGATCTTAGGGGTCCCATCTATGACCAGGTAAGTTGAAATCAGAATTCTTTGTCTTCCTATGTAGTTCCATTGTCCATACTTGCCTCTGGGGAAAGCCGGGGGGGGGTGTTCAAGTACGCGTGTGTGCGTGCGGGCATACGTGCGTGTTTGATCTGCAAATAGTGTGAATGTGTATATTCTCATACAGACATTAAGGCATGAGTGGCATATGTGTGTCTGAACGTAAGTTCTGGCCTAGGGCTCGTCTTGTTTCTAGGCAGCTCCTCACTCAGGGTTCAAGCCCTCCAGGCCGAGGCTGAGGTCTCACCACTGTCCCCTTCCTCCTCCAGGGTGGTCCTGTGGAAATCTTGCCCTACCTGTACTTGGGCAGCTGCAGCCACTCCTCAGACCTTCAGGGGCTGCAGGCCTGCGGTATCACAGCCGTTCTCAATGTTTCTGCCAGCTGCCCCAACCACTTTGAGGGGCTTTTCCATTACAAGAGCATTCCAGTAGAAGATAACCAGATGGTGGAGATTAGTGCCTGGTTCCAGGAGGCTATTGGCTTCATTGGTAAGGGCACCGCAGCCCAGGGGCCTGGGAACTGTAGGGAGCAGGTGGCGGTCCTGTTTCCTCTGTCTACCTTCCAATCTGACGCCTTCCTTCCCATTTCCTTTTCAGACTCAGTGAAGAATAGCGGGGGCCGGGTGTTGGTGCACTGTCAAGCCGGGATCTCCCGCTCAGCTACCATCTGCCTGGCATACCTGATTCAGAGCCACCGGGTGCGGCTGGATGAGGCCTTTGACTTTGTTAAGCAACGTCGGGGAGTCATCTCCCCCAACTTCAGTTTCATGGGGCAGCTGCTGAAGTTTGAGACCCAGGTGCTATGTCACTGAGTCAAACCCTGGCCTGGTCCCACGGTGCTGCCTCTCACCCACTCCTGGGGGAAGCTTCTGTGGACTTCTGGACTCCTCTCTAGTCTAGCTCACCGCTCCCCACCTCATTCTCAAGTTGGGGTGCTAGGAAAGCCAGGATGATGGCTTTTCTGATATGGTGCTCATCTGCTGGGGTTTTAAGGGCTGGCCCTTATTCAGGGGACCAGGGCAGATAGTATATTTGCTCTTCCTCCCCAACTCTGGCAGAAATTAACTGGACTCTAACCCCACTATGTTAAAGCCCTTGGGCTACCAAGGGCTCAAGGAACAAGCTGTGACAAACAGGAACCATGTCTAGGGGTGCACACCCCATGACCCAAAGCTCGAGCCTTGTGCTCCCCAGGGGAGCCATGCGTGTGTGTCATGTTACTGACATCTTGCTTTTGTGTTTAAGTATGTGTGTATCTCGCCACAGTTGGTGCTGAAAAGTTATCTGTGTTCGACTGACATTTAACACTCCCTCCCTGATTTCCTCCCAGCCCTGTGGGCCAGTGAGGGGGGCCTTGGAAACAGCACTTTATATTTATATAGAACATTGAGGATGTGCCAATAAAAACAGTGTTTTGTTTAAAAAAAGAGCAATAGCGCAAGTGTCTGGTCTCAAGTTCATGCCTGGGATGTTCTTCACTGCTCCGTCCTGGGGTCTTCCCCACACAGGGTCTAGCTTGTGGCTAACTGGGATGATTCAGGGAGGCAGACTCTTGTCTAGATCTCAGACAGTTCAGGGAAGCCCTGATCAGACTCCACTTCCTTGAGAACTACATTTTCTCAATGTGTGATGGGCAGGTGTGTGTTGACTGAGGACACTCAGGTCATTGTCTGGAACCCTGAACAGAGGGCACTAGCTTCCTGGGGCCAAATGAAGGGTATGCAACCTGTCTCTAGGCCCCATTCTCTCTGCCCTGGGGTAAGGTACTCAGGGGCTGGGGTTGTTCTCAGCCTTCCTCCAGGCCTGTGCCAGTTTCTATTTGGATCTGCATGTGCTCTTGATGCCCAACTCAGGGTGGGTAAGGGACCCCAGGGCCACAGAGTCCTCAACATCATCGCATACACAGCATGACTGTCCAGCTTCACCTCATTCCTTATCTTCCTGTGTTTATTCCTGCCATCCTAACCAGTGGCCTTCCTTTCCTTTTCTTTCTTTCATTTTTTTTGTGGGGGTGCAGTCTTAACTATGTAGCCTTGGCTTGCCTAGAACTAGGTATATAGACCAGGTTGGCCTCAAACTCACGAGAGAGTTTGCCTCCTGAGAACTGAGATTAAAGGCATGTACCACCACAAATAAATCTTTCCTTAAAATTTAATTGTGAGGTTAAAAAAAAATAACAAACCTTATCAACTTTACCAGTCTAAGCGTTCAGTAGTGTTAGGTAAGTCACAGAAACTTTCTCTAGAACTTTCCATCTTGAAAATGGGAACACATTATATACTAACTCCCAAACCCTCCTCCAAGTGGCCTCTGCATTCTGCTGAATTGGTGACTCTGGGGATCCCAATGAGTGGGCCATACAGCATTTGTTTCCTTTTAAAAACATGCACTTCTTATTCTTTGGGAATTCCATACATGTACACAATATGTTTTGATCATATTCACCTCTCCCTCCTCCAGTCCCCCGCAATGTCCCCCCACTTCATGTCCTTTTTCTCTTTTGTAACCCACTAAGTCCCATTAGTCCTTCCCAAATGCTCATGGGTGTGGGGTCATCCAATGGAGCTCAGGCACACCCCCAAAGAAAAATAACTCTAACAAGCATCAGTTGCCAATAGCTGCTTGGCTAGAGACCTTGAGAGCCCCATCGTCATCCGTGCTGGAATTTTGACTGGCTCGATCTTGCACAGGTCACCTCTATTGCTACAAGTTTGAGTGTCAGGGCCATGTGATGTCCAGAAGACAACATTTTTCAGCTCGCCTCCCTGTCTGCTGGCTCTTAACTCTCTTTCTGCTCCTTTGTCTGAGATCAGAAATTCTCTGTACCTTGGAGCGGCAGGGTGACATGGGTGTGCCATGTAAAGATGAGCAGTCACTTATTCTCGGCACACTGACCGTTATGATTCTCTGTGTTAGCCTCTGCTCGATGCAGACAGCTTCACTGGCCAAGGCTCAGCCACACTGGCTCATGAAATGAATTGCCGGCACAGCTGCTCTGAGCTGCTGCAAACCTCTCAGATCCCTCCGGCACTAGCCGATTCCGTACATCCCCATGACTCACGTCCACCAGTACTGTCTTTTTGTGGGCAGCTTGCTTAGTCCATCTCAGTTCACAACATTCTTGTTTGACCGGTTATGAGATTTTCTACCCAAGCAATGTGATGGTGATGCTTTTACTAAGCACATTTAACTTGATTATATATATTTGAGACAGGCCTTCACTATGCAGCCCAGACTAGTCTGAATCTCATGGCTGCTATTTGAGACTCCCAAGTTCTGGGATCACAGGTGTGAACCACCATGACAACTCGTGTCTTTTTTTTTTTTTTTATGGCAACCCCCCCCAAAACCTGAACGTTTAAGGTTGAACATGGGAAGCTCTGACACATATGTGCATTGTGAATGAGTCTTTCAATCAAGCTAACTAGCATACTCATTGGATGCATCAAAACCAGTCAACTGACACCCTACTCAGGTATCATTGGCATCTGCCTTTATATCCTCTCCTTGTGGCTTTGAATTCAATTTCCTTGAGAAATGTTGGCCCCAGGTTCAGCAGGCCTGTGTGGTCAACCACCCGTGCCCTTGGCTCTGGCTTTTCTTCACTGGGCACTAGGGTGAATTTGTTGGTGTGCTCCAGACTGTCAACGCAGGTGAGATCTATGCGTGAGGTGTAACCAATAGGAAGAGAGTTGAGGAGCTTTGCATTTTGAATCAGTGAAGTGGGAAGGGGCCTCAGCTGATCAGGAGGTCAGGGGGCGGTGGCTTTCTTCTTTCTTTTTCTTTTTCTTTCTCCCCCCCCCCCGAGACAGGGTTTCTCTGTATTGCTTTGGAGCCTGCTCTTGGAACTAGCTCTTATAGACCAGGCTGGCCTTGGAACTCACAGAGATCCACCTGCCTCTGCCTCCCAAGTGCTGGGATTAAAGGCGTGTGCCACCACCACCTGGCCAGGGCTGTGGCATTGGAAGAACCACATCCATGTGAGGATCTGAGTGTCCAAAAGGGTCTGTTTGTCTGCCTATGTGTCATGAACACCCCCAGCCCATGGCAGGTGCCCCTGGGTGCTAATTTGCTGGGTGTTCTTCATTGTTGAAGTTTCAGAGTCCTGCAGCCTGTGACTGTACTTTCCTTATACGGCTTCTGAACAAAAGCTTATAGCCAGGCATAGTGGCACATGGCTTTAATCCTAGCACTCGTTAGGCAGAGACGGGTAGAGCTCTGTGAGTTTTAGCCCAGCCTGGTGGTTTACATAGTGAGCTCCAGGACAGCCAGAGCTATGTAATGAAACTTGTCACACTCCCCTCCCACCCCCACCCAAAAATAAGGAAGAAAAGAGAAAGAAAGAAAACCTTTTACAGGTGTAGTGACCACATCTTCCATCATCAGATACTTCAGGGGAGGGTGCCTCGAGTTCTCAGGCAGATTTTCTGTGTCTGAGTCCCCTAGTAGGTGTTGGGACAGGAAAAGCGGTCACTTCTAGTGCTGGGGTCTCAGTCCCGCCCATGAACCTCACTACAATGCGTCTCCGCCCTCTGCCGGCAGGAGGGTATCTCAGCTACACAGCTGCCAAGAAGTTTGTTTTGTGTGGCCTGCCCACTTTTTAACCCACTTCAGCCAAGGTGGTTGGGACTGTGGTCCAGAAGGCTCTTTTTTTCTTCTTCTTCTTTTTCTTTTTTTTTTCAGGCCTGGGGGAGGGTCCTTGGGTTGGAGGAAGCAGGTCTGCAGGTGGTGGCTATTGGGAGGTTGTTCCTGGAGGTGCTTGAGAGGCTGCAGGTGTGGGCTGGAGAAGCCGCTATTTATGGACGGTGATCAAGCGCCTGCGCTTAGGGTGCCCTTTCCTGCTATGGTTCTGTACGTTGCTTGCTGAGAGCACCGTGGGGAAGCATGGGAGGCCTGTGGCCTTGGATACTGGTATTGTTCTCCTTGCCGGGTAAGCTAGCTCGGCACTGGGAGGCGGTCAGGGGCGGTGGCTATAGGTTAAAATAGTCTTACATGAGCTTCATGGTTCCACATGGAGGTCTCCCCGGGTGTGCCTAGAAAGCAAGCTCCTGGGGACCATGGAGGAGGCCTCCCAACCCCTGTAGGAACAGATGTGCCACCTAACCGTAGCTTGCCAAGTGTCACACCACATACCTACTTGTTTTAAGGTAGAGGCTCTGTTCTAGCCTAAAGCTGAAGAGAAGGGTCTGAGGCTAGCCCTGAATCTGGTGCCACCTCAAGATTTAGAGTCCACTCTGCCTCTTTTCTTCATTCCTTTTGCCTCATGTGCTGCCCTAGCCAAATGCTAGTCCCTTAAAGGGCTCTCCTTCATTGAAGGCATAAGACCTTGCTGCGGTGGAGCTGAGTGGGAAGCCCAGGCAGGCTTAGGGGTGCATAGCGGAGGCCTTTCCTGAAAGGGGCTGGGCTTTGCTTCCCCGTGTCCCGCTGTCCTAGCTCACCAATGGAGCCCTGGGGCATCTATGTCTGCACTTGTCTGTCTGGCCAGGCTTGATCCTGGGAGCACCCTCAGCACCCAGGTGTTCAGGAGGAGTCTGCAGTACCAGTGTCCCAGAAGGCTTCACTCCTAAAGGGAACCAGGTATCTCAGGACAAGGACATCCCTGCAATTAACCAAGGTGAGTCCACTAGGTCATACTGACAAAAGCCACATTGAGTGTGGGCATGCAGAAAAGGTTGACACTTTTCAGGGACTTTTAAAGAGGTGCAAGGCTCATGAGGACATGATTAAGTCCTTTTTTCTGTTTGTTTGTTTTTTTGCTGGTGAATTATTTTATTTTAATTGATTCTCTGTGGGTTTCACATCGTTCATCCTGATCCCACTCATTTCCCTGTCCACTCATCCACCCTCTGCTCTTGCAACCTCACTGCCAAAACAAAACAAAATTTAAAAGAAAAACCAAAACCAACCAAACAACAACGGAAGCAGTAGTGTGGCCAGTTGAGTCATACAATCTACCCCTTAGTCCATTCATCTTTACTTGTAAGTGTTCATTTTTATGAGTCACTCACTGGTCTGGTTTTGAGGTCTCTGACTTCTGTTACACCATAAATGATGGGCTATCTCTGGGGCTCTTAAATATTCTGTTGTCCTGTGACATGGAGATCCTGATGTTTTGGATCTGTAGATTCATCCCCTTCACCTGCTCCAACAGTTCATTGATGAAGTAGATGCTGAGGTGGGCCAGCTCATAGCCCTGGTTCTGGGCCTGGGTAGCCTGCCAGCCCTCCCTCATTGTCACTACCTGGTGCATGAGTTGAGTTCTAGGACAGCGAGGGCTATACAGTGAAATCCTGTCTCTAAAAACACAGATGAGAGAGAGAGCTCTCAGCTTAGGAGTTGAGCAAAATTATCGGTAGATATTTGAGAACATGTCAGTTCATGTCGGTTACTCTTGAGAGGGCCAGTGTATAGGTGTGACCTAGCCTGTATGTGTGTATGTGTGTGTGTGTGTGTGTGTGTGTGTGTGTGTGAGAGAGAGAGAGAGAGAGAGAGAGAGAGAGAGAGAGAGAGAGAGAGAAATTAAAGAAGCCAGTGGCTCAGGGCCTCCCTGTCTAGGAGTCTTAAAACAGTGAGGAATATAGACCATTGGGCTGAAGCTGGTAGCAATGAAGATGAATTTGGATATTGGAGACATCATGGGCTGAATGGGGGAACAGAGGTAACCTTGGCTTAGGGTAAGTGGTGGCCAGTGTGATCTGCTCCTATTATTGGTGAGCTGGTTAGAAGCTCAAATGGCCACCAACCCTTACTCAGTTATTGTCACTTTCAATGCCATGGAGAAGTTTCTCCCATGCTGGGGTTTACAGTAGTTGCTAACAGCTGCCCCTACCTATCTGATGCTTATTGGGAAATGCTGCTATCCCCAGCTGTTCTGCTGAGTGATGGCTATGATGGCTGTTAATATCATACAACTATACCAGGTTTGGATCATTCTGGAAAGTTCTCAACCTTCCTAATGCTGCTTCCCCTTGATACAATTCCTCATGTTGTGGTGACCCCAACCACAAAATTATTTTTGTTGCTTCTTCATAACTATAACGTTGCTACAATTATGAATCATAATGCAAATATGTGTTTTCGGAAGGTATTTGGTGACCCCTGTGAAAGGGTCATTTGACTCCCAAAGGAGTCGTGACCCACAGGTTGAGAACCACTGTCCTGGAGAGTGGCATTTTAGATTTAAGAATGCAGCCTTGGTTAGAGGTCATCTTGAGGTAACTCTTCTTACCTGAGGAGGACTCATAAGGGGTGCGACTAGTCTGTGTTGCCATCTGTGGTCTGAAGCTCTGAGATCAGGCAGTGCTCCTGCACACCTCTCAAGCCTTCTGTGGTTTCTTCATTGCCTCATGGGTCTCCCTGAGATTTCTCTTGCCAGCAGTCAGCTACAGAAGGCTCCCTGACTAGAGGAAAGACAAGAAGCCAAAGCAAATTGAGACAAAGTATTTACCCTCCTCAACTTCCTCCTGTGGTTATGACTTGTAATTTTAGTTCCTTTATTTCAAGGGTCCAGAATGTGACATAAATAATGGGAAGTGGTTGGTGGGCGGGGGCAAGATAAGACAGGAGAGACCAGGACATGTTCTGGGGAGTGTGGCTTGGGCTGGAGTGAGCCTGGATGGAAGAGAAGGCTGATCCTGACAGCAGAGGACTTGGAGCTGGGACTGGATCACCGGTGCTGAGGGAGCCATGCCTTGTGTTGGAACAGGGGTCGAGGATGCCAGCAGGTTGAGAAGCCTCACACAGAAGCCTCACACACATTTGTAGGCGGGAACTCAGCAGTCACCTAGCCTTGGTACTTACGGAAGCTTAGCTCTAAAGTAGAAGGCATAGAGGCTGATATTGCTGGGTCTGTCTGTGTTCTGGAAGTCACAGGTGACACACATCCCTTCCTTTCCCTCCCAGGGCTTATCTCAGAGGAGACACCAGAAAGCAGCTTCCTGGTTGAAGGTGACATCATTCGGCCGGTGAGTTGTGCACATGTGGCATGATCAGCCACAGAGCTGAGAGAGAACACTCAAAACCTTCTAGGTCTGTATGAGTGGTTAGGTGCCACTTTCAAGGTCATGAATTTGACAGTGATGACAGCTGAAATGACAACCTAGTCTTCCTAATAGGACTCTTTGGAAGAGGGGACTCAAGCTCTTAAACCCCCACTTGACAGCCTGCCCAGGGGGGAGTGCTTAGGAAGCACTTGGCTGGCTGGAGATGTGAGCCCAGAACGACTTGTACATGGGAGTCCTGGATGGCTGTCAAGATCCCCCTAGGGAAGCCAGAGCAAGGAGGAACATGGAGAGACGAACAGAGGGCTGAGTCAGAAGGGAGGAGGCTGATGGGAATGGTAATGGCATTGCAGAAAGAAGACACATTGTTTAGGAGAGGTAGCACCATATTGTATGGGCAGAAGGCTGCTGAATATGACAATGAGCTGTGGAAAGCAAGACTATTTCTCTTGTTTAGATGTGATTGACAGCTACTGAGGCTGTGCTGGAGTTCATAGGCATGGCAGTTTAGATTATCCATTAGAGATGAATATACACCTGGCATTTGAAACCCTTAGAGCAGAATTAAATCATGTTGGTATCTAGAGTGGGTAGGGCCTTCTGCCAGTTTGGTTCATGGAAGATGGGAAGATTTGTGAGGGTGTCACCCTGAATAGGACCCTTCCTGTTCTTAGGGGAAGCTTAGCCATACTCCTGTTCTGAGGAGGTGCTTCTGAGCCAGGCCTCCTGGGGTACCAACCTTAGATACTCTTTATCTACTCCGTAGGATACGTTGCAACTTCTGTTATCTGAATTCTCAGTCCATTGACTTCCCATCACTCTTCTAATGGTTTTCTCACTCCCAAGACCTCAGTGTCCTGCCTCTCACATCTTTATAGAGTCTGAAGCATGGCACCCTAGGGAGCAGACACTTAGGTGGCCTGTGTCCTCCACTAACTCTGAGCTGCCTTCTCGCCTCAGAGTCCCTTCCACCTGTTGTCAGTGACCAACAACAAATGGCCCAAGAGTATTGGTGGCGTTGTGGAGATCCCCTTCTTGCTCTCCAGCAAGTATGGTGAGTGAGAGCTGAGTTGGGATTTCCTGGCCGCCTCCTGTATGTAGCAGGGATGCTGTAGGGAGTTTCAGCCCCTCGCCTCCTGCAACACCATACTCCCTCTCTTGCACCGAGAGTGCTATGCAAAGCTACTATCCCCACAATCCTGAACTCTCTCCACCCTCTCCGCCCTCTCTGCCCTCTCCCCCCTCTCCTCCTCTCTGAATACTGTTTTGGAAGGGTCCCAGGCCCCATGCAGACTTCAAAGGTCCTCAAGAGCTATGGGACCTCCATAGGGGGTTAGCCATGGTGTGTGTCTTTCCCAGATGAGTCCAGCCGCCGAGTCATTATGGAGGCCTTTGCTGAATTTGAACGTTTCACGTGCATCCGGTTTGTTGCCTACCAGGGCCACAGAGACTTCATTTCCATCCTTCCCATGTCAGGGTAAATGCTCCTGGTGTGTGGCGTGTGTGGGAAGGGTCTGTTCATCCCTTAGTGTGCATAGTGCTATTAAGCCTATTTCTGGGACTGTTTTCTTGGGTTTAACCCCAGTCTACCCTGAATGGTTCGTTCATGGTAGGTGGGTGGGGGATAACCACTGGGCACAGGACCCTCCTCTACAAAGCCCTCATCTCCTGGAGGTCTTGTGGTATGAGTCTGGGCAAATGTTGGGGTACTAGTTCTGCCACTCATGTGCTAAACTTGAGTCCAGATCAGTCACCTAATTTAGCCTTTTCTGTCTTCCTTCTGAGGTAGGAGTAGTGATAATATCTATATCCTACTTTCGTGGAGCCTGACAAGGTGTGGCTGGAAGCTAGTGACATAGGTCTGCTCATATAATGACCTGCTCTATCATGCCTGAATGTCAGGTCCCACCTTTTGGCAGCTCAGGTAGTAACAAAGCTGCAGGTGACACCCTCTTTACAGGCCAAGCAGTCAGGTGACCTGGGAGATGGGACAGTAAGTCTGGGACTAATCCATCCTGGGTTCTAGAGCACAGGAAACATCTATTCGGCTAGCTTTTCTAGACTGATACCCATCTCTCTCACACCAAGCCACTCCCTTTCACGGTCTTGCAGGTGCTTCTCTGGTGTGGGTCGCAGCGGGGGGATGCAGGTGGTGTCTCTGGCACCCACTTGTCTCCAGAAGGGCCGGGGCATTGTCCTACATGAGCTCATGCATGTGCTTGGCTTCTGGCATGAGCATTCACGGGCAGACCGGGACCGTTACATCCGAGTCAACTGGAATGAGATCCTCCCAGGTAAGTTAGCTGGTGTCCAGGCTAGACTGGGCCCAGGGGACCCCGAGGGACAGAGGCCTCAGGCTAGGGCTGGAGTTGAGTTGCTTACCTCCCCTGGAAGAGTCCATCCCACACTCTCTGTCCTTTTCTCATGAGGCAAGTGTGGGATTCCTGCCTCTCTGGCATTGGAGAGTGGACCTGTGGCTGTTGCTCTGGGCCTCTATAGTTGTATCCAAGGAAGGACATCAGTCAGTTCCTTTGTGTCTCACTTCTCTCTGCCACTGTCAATCATCTGGGTGTGAGGTCCACAGTGTCCTATGACTTGTTCAGAGTGCCCAGCGACCTGCCATGTTGCAGATGTTAGTGTGTGATCCTGGGGCAGGAGCTACATGTCAGTTGGGGATCCTGAGCCAAGAAAGATGGGGGTGGGTAGCAAGGGGACAACAGTGAAAGGCTGAGGTGCATAAGATGGGCATCAGTGGGCATGTGGCTGAGTGCCCCGGAAGCTGCAGAACCAAGGCTGATGGAGGGAGGGGCTCTGATGCCAGTGTCAGCACATGTGCTGGGCATGGTGCAGGGATCAGATGGCAGGGATGCAGGTGGGGCTCAGGTCAGTGGCGAGAACAAGTGCCTTGGGCAGGAGGGAAGCTGTGGAGGGGCAAATTCCACAGTGTGTTTGGAGGAGTCAGCGCCACCTGCCAGTGGGGAGCTGGAGGGGCCGCTTCCGCTGCTCTGGGGTTGGCCAGGTGATAAGTGGGACACTTGCCCCAGAGGTGATGCTTTGGAGGTAGCTGGGTAACTAATGACAAACAGATGGGATTGGGGAGGTAGAGCGGGTGACCATGATTCCAGGTTCTCCTGGGTGTTTGTAAGCACTCATCCTATGACAGGCTGTGAGAAACACTAGCTTTGGAAACTCAGGCCAATACAAACACCTGATCATGACATAAAGCAGAAGCCAATAATGGACCACCCGCACAACCCACCCCCCAGACTACTCCCCTCAGGAGATGCAGTCAAATACTTTTAGTTCTGGGGGTTAAAGGAACTTCAGGGCTTCTCAAAAAATAAAGGAAAAGAAAACTATGTAATCTTAGCACTCGGGAGACTGAGGCAAAAGATTCCAAGTGTGAGACTGGGCAGGTCTACATGGACTCTGACTTTAAATAAGCCATCATCACCAAGCGGTGGTGGCACATGCCTTTAATCCCAGCACGCTGGAGGCAGAGGCAGGTGGATCTGAGTTCAAGACCAGCCTGGTCTAAAAGAGCTAGCTCCAGGACAGGCTTCAAAGCTACACAGGGAAACCCTGTCTTAGAAAAACCAAATAAATAATGAATCAAGCACTATTTTTAAAACCAGTGGTTTAAATAGGGTAAGGGTGGGCTCAGGGAAAGTATGGAGGCATTGATGGCATCCATAAAAGCAAAGAGAACAAACATGCCCATTTAAGGTTTTGTTTTGTTTAAGGTAAAAGCATAAGTTAGAGTTAGAAAACGGCACAAATTGACTCAACCTGTTCTAACAATCAAATTGGCTCCAAAAACAAAACTACTAGGGAATGTAGCAAAGTGGTAAGGCACTTGTTTGATTTTTAACTGGGGGTTTCTTTCCTAGTGCCTACAAAAGCTCAGCTATCCTAATGGGATAAATATGGTTCCCTCAGAGATAGGAAAGTGAGAATATACTTGCACTAATGGGCATAAATTCTGCCAGGGCATAAAAATTAACCCATGATTAACTTTTGTGGAGATTGTGAGGTAGAAATTCAAGGAAGTGAGTTGTGTAGGAGACTCACTATCATCTTTTTATGTATGTTCTTTTAATATATGTATATATTGTATTTCCATAGTGCTGAGGACTGAGCCCAGAGCCTTGGCAGGTTAGATACATCATATTTTGTGTTTTGTTTTGTTTTGTTTTTTGAGACCTGGGCTTACTATGTAGTTTAGCTGTCCTGGAACTCACTATGGTAAATAAGGCTGACCTCAAACTCAGAAATTCTCCTACCACTGTCTCCCAAGTGCCACTATGCCCAGCTAGACACTTGTTATGTTAGCTAATAAAGGTTCTTTAAGAGAAGATAGATATTGGCACTCCTTGGGGCTCTGATTAGGGTAAGGAGGCTGCATTGATCTTGGGGGAAGAAGACAGTGTGGACATGGCCTGCTGGGTGTGGAAAGGGGTTGGGGAGCAAAGGTGTAAGGATCAGCGGCCCTTTCAGGGGTGGCCAAGATGACAGGACTCCTGGACTCCATGTCTGCAGCTTTGCAGTTTAAGACAGGAAGATGAAGATGGTCTGGCTACTGAGGGGTCAGGCACCACACTCCTGAGTGGAGAGGACAGCATATCTTTGAAGCTAGCTCAAGGGCTAGGTAGGAGCCATAACTTTGTGGGTGCTGCAGGTTTGCAAAGATTGGTGAATTGAGAAGGAGTCAGAGCCTGTAGGATGTCATGGTTGCCTGGCCACAAGGTGCCCCCTGCTTCCATGTCACTTGGTATAGATCTGGATTCCTGCCAGAGTCAAGTAGGGTAGGTAGCAAGGGTGTGCCTAAAACAGGGGCAGCCAAGAAGGCTCCGCAGGGTAGTCGGACTCTTCCATTTACATGGGTTGTGACTCTAGAAGTTGCCCACTTCTCTCTCTTGTCTATTCTTTGCCTGCCTGTCTTCCTTTTATGTATCTACAAAGGTGTGTGTATGTCTGTGTTTTAAGGCTTTGAAATCAACTTCATCAAGTCTCGGAGTAGCAATATGTTAGTACCTTATGACTACTCGTCAGTGATGCATTATGGGAGGTGAGCACCCTCCCTTTCCCCTCTTGCCCCTTCCTCCTGCTCCCACCACCTCTCCCTGCCCTCCACCCCCACCCATTGTCCTTGCATTACCCTCCTAGCTCCCCTCCCACCCCCCGTGATCCTGACATAGGCCTTGCCCCTGGGTTCCAGGTTTGCCTTCAGCTGGCGTGGGCAACCCACCATCATACCACTCTGGACCCCCAGTGTGGCCATTGGCCAGCGATGGAACCTGAGTGCCTCAGACATCACCCGAGTCTGCAGGCTATATAACTGCACCCAGAGTGTTCCTGACTCCCACAGGAGAGGTAAGGACAGGGGGAGAGACTTGATTTAGGGAATGGTGCTGAAGTGTGAGGGTAAAGAGATGGTGAGTAGGTAAGGAGAGGTGGTCAGACCCCATGCCTTCATCATAACTGAGTTTGGAAACACATTTGAAAAAGAGTTAATGCCCACTAGTGACAAAAACCCTTCAGCAAACAGAAATAACCTAGACAATGGACACCTACCAAATCTTGGAGTAGAAACAACTTTTAATGACAAAATATTAAATCTAGGACCAAGATAAGTTTCCCACTATTGTATATCTATTCAGTGTTGAAATGGAGGTCTTAGCCATTGTGGTAAGGCAAGAAGACGACACAAAGTTCTGGTGCTTAGAAAACAGAAGCCAAAAACTGTCACTAGGCATAGATCAGTAACAAGCAAACACTGTACAGAAATGGGCACACAAATGTATAAATACCTGTATGCGTTCTGAATGCAGGGCATATAAAGTAGCTCTAAGTGCATGGGATGGGTGCAGAGATACAAAAGTTCTGTGGGAACAGAGTGCAAAGTTGTAAGATGGATCCTACTCAAGTGTGAAACCTAGTGGGCATGGTGGTGCATGCCTTTAATCCATTCCCAGCACTGGAGAGGCAGAGGTAGGTGTGGATCTCTGAGTTGGAGACTAGTCTGGTCTACACAGTGAGACTGTCCTGGGACAGTCACAGCTACATAGTGAGACCCTATCTCAATACATAAATAATAAATAAAGCAAATCCTCCAAAGAAGGACCTTGATTATGAAAGGATGGCGTAGTAGCTCTCAACCTGTGGCTCATGACCCATTTGGGGTTGAACAATCCTTTCAGATATTTACATTATGATTAATAACAGCAAAATTAGTTATGAAGTAGCAATGAAATAATTTTATGTTGTGGTGACCCCCAACCATGAGGAACTATATTATAGGGTCACAGACTTAGGAAAGTTGAGAACCACTGCACTAGATGGTATCTGGATATCTACCGCCACACACCATAAGGGTACGGAAGATTTGTATGTGCATGGAGAAACTTTAGAAAGTTTAGCAAGACACACAGTGAGAAGTCTGTATAACATTGGGATGGGGAAGAATTTCTTCACACATAGCCCTAACACTACAAGATTAATAAACGTTCAGTAACCTTAACCATAATATCAAGTGACACCACAAGCAAACCTAAAATACAAAGTTGAGATGCTTCTGGGCATGGCTAGTATTGTTCTGAATTCAGAAAGAACTGTAAACAGAAAGTCAAAATACCAGCTAGAAAAATGTGTGAGGTGGTTAACCGGAATCCCAGAAGAAACCAAATGAGAAGCAATTACAACACCATTCCCTCTCTCTAACTCAGCGGAAGTCCACAATGTCAGTGATAATTGATAATATCAAATACTGCTACAGGGCAAAGAGTGATGCTTGTGTCCCACTGACAGGGCCGCAAATTGCTGTGACCCTCTGGAAGACCGTGTGATACCCTGTGAAGCTGCTGTGTGCCTGTGACCCAGATTTTATTTTTAGGTCATTCTACACCCGGGTCCCACCCTCTTTCCCCACCAGCCCCAGTTAATCACTAATCTACCTCCTGCCTCTGTGGATTTACCTTGTCTAGACATTCATATAAATGGAGCTACGTGACTTTTGTGTCTGGCTTACTGCCCTTAACATGACCTTCCTCTTCATCTCTGCTATAGCACCCATGGAACCTCAGTTCTTTTCTGCCAAATGACATTCCTTATTTATTCATTAGCTGATGAACATTTGAGCAGTTCCTGCTTTGGGGCTACTATGAATATGCTATTGTCAGTCGGTATCTTCCTTGGGCATAAAGTTTCTGGGCTCCATGGTAACTCTATACTCAGCTGTCTTCCAAAGCAGTTGAGTCACTTAAAAACTCCATTAGCTATGTAGGTGGCTACTGATGTTTCTGCATAACTGCCAAAGCATATAGTCTATGCTTTTGATTATGACTATTCCAGTGGGTGTGGAAGTATCTCAATTGCTCCAGTTGGTGTTTCTCTAATGGCTAACCATATCCAGCCTCTGTGAGATGGTTGGTCCTCTGTACACCTTTTTGGGCAAGTGTCTACCCAGATCCTTAACCTCATTTTCAGTTGAATTGGGTTTTCCTTGCTGAATTAGACTTAGAAATCCTTTTTGTGAAGATTTCTCTGTAGTCCTGGCTATCTTGGAACTCTGTAGACCTGGCTGGCCTCAAACTCGGGTCTCTCTGCCCCTGCTTCCTGAGTGCTGGGATCAAGGACATGTGCCACAATGCCTGGATTTAAAAAAAAATACTCAATGATATCTCTTAGTTGGTTATATCATTTGGAAATATTTCCTCACATCATTTGGAAATATTTAGATTCTTAGTAATAGGACCCCACCGCCGCTGCTACGCGTGCACGGGCGCGCGCGCGCGCACACACACACACACACACACACACACACACACACACACACACCTCTTTATTTTGAGACAGGGTCTCACTAAAGTGGTGGCTGGCTTGGAACTCAATATATAGACCAGGCTAGCCTCAAACTTATAGACATCTGCCAGCCTTGGCCAGTGCTGAGATTAAAAGCATGTGCCACCATGCCCAGCTCACATCATTCTTAATGTCATTTTCATATATATGTGTGTGAGTGTGTGTATACATGCATATATCAAATGTTTCCTAATTTTTGTTAAAACTAGAGAATGAGATGCTGTGGTGAGAGGATTGCAGGTCAATCTGCAGCTCTATCACAAACAGTGGAAAATTGGGACACAATTAGGACTGGTCCAAGTCTGGGTGTTTAAATAGTGGCCCAAACAGTGGAGAAGGGGCAGGTGCTGGAAGAGAAAAGAAGCTCAGCTAGAACTTGAGAGGGTCTGCCCTTGGAGGGAGGTCAGACAGGGACATAAGGTAAAGGAAGACAACAGAGGTGGACCTGAGTCCACATGCGGGTCTGAAGATACCGAGTGTGGCCTTGGGTCCACAGTGAAGTGAGGCTGCTGGTGGGGCAGTGGGAGGGACATGAACCTGGTAGAGATGGCAGGACTTAGGATGGTGCTGGGACTGGGGTGTGGCAAGGATTTGTGACAGGGATGGTGGCGGGGGATGTGTCCAAAGGGATGGTGGCGACTGGGGTAGGCAGCAAAGCCGGGAGAGGGGAGAGACACTGTTGTTTGAAGGTGCGTTGTTAGGAATGAAGGCTTCATCTCTTGTGGCTTCTGGCGCTGATGTGTTCAGAGAGAGGGCATGGGCTGTGAGACCAGCAGAGCCAGGCAGCCGGAGGATCACTGGTTAAAGGAGTCAGCATGGATTGGTCACTGCACACTGGTGGAGGAATGTGAGGTTGTGATGTGTGAGCAGGAAAGACCGGGCAAGGAGGCAGCAGTGGGGTCTACCAGAGCAGATAAGGGGAGCCGTGAAGCTCAAGTGTTCTCCCACAAAGTAGTGTGCCAGTCATGGTCTGGTGTGGTAGCAAAGAGAAAGCAAAGAGGCTCTTCCTGGCAGTGTGCAGATCTGAGACCATTCAGAGCTTCTGATGTCCTCTCCCTTGGTTTTAACGGAAGGGTTCCAGAGGATGTCTAAGATGTGGGGGTGGGAGGTGGCTGTAGAGTGACCCAAAGAAGGACCTGGTAGGAGAAGGCTGTAGTGTAGTGCTTGGGTCAGTAGGATAACAGAGCAACCCAACTGGGCTGCTGGGATGTGGGTAGGAGGCCAGGTGGATCTTTGAGTAGTGACCCAAGGGGCCCAGTAAGGAAGAAATGACACATCTCCATTGTCCTTGTTTTTCCTATTCATTTTCAAGACAAGGTTTTTCTGCACAGCCTAGGCTTGACCACAAATTCACAACCCTCATGCTTCAGCCTCTCAAATACAAAGATACAGGCATAGACCATCACACCCAACAGTTGTACTGGTGTGTGGTAGGAATGTAAGAGTTTGTGCCTTAGCGGAGACCTCATGGGCTATCATCTCAGGGAGTCTGGCTCCATATCCCCTTACATAGAGCCAAACCAGCATTAATTCTTGTGGCCATGCTCTATGTGCTTTCTGTGATTCTGGAACCTAACTTCTCTCTCCTGCTTCAGGGTCTGAGGCCTACAGTTATGGAAGAAGCCTCACTCCTGCTTCTCTATCACATCTACAAAGACTTCTGGAGGCACTGTCAGAAGAATCTAGAAGCTCTGCCCCCAGTGGCTCCAGGACTGAAGGCCAGGGTATTATTCCTGGGCTTGTAGACAGCCATCAAGGATGGGAGCACCCTGCTCAGAGCAAGTTCAGTATGGAGGCCTTGGCAAGACCACCCCAAATGCTAGATGTCTCTCCAAGGTCAGGGCGTGGAGCAGGTGCAGACGGTATTTCTCTAGAGCAGTTTCAGGCAGCCCAAGTGCCCACTGTACTTCCCACTCCATCTCCCCAAACCAGAGACCAGCCAGCACCTATCCAAGATGCCATGGAGAGCCTAGCTCTGCTTCCAGGAGGTTGCGCACCTGGAACTCCCTTCAGAGAGGTGCCCAGACACTGAGCACCTGCCCCCAGGTGGGGAGGGGATATTCTGTCCAGTCCTTGACCCCTCTGGGCATCATCCCTGCCTCCTATCCCCTGCACTGGTCACTTTTGAAGACTCAGGTCACTCCCATGGTCTTTTCTCCACCACATCTCATCCCCTGTGAAGTTTCTAGAGATAGAGAGGCCCCCAAGGTCTGTCCTTAACCCTGGAAGAAGCTGGGGATGGAGGCAGGATCCTGGGAGTGGTGGGGAAGAGCAAGGTTCCAGTTCTGAAGGGCCTCTGGGAATTCTACAGCTGAGGACTAGTTCCCATCATGGGCTCCAGTGTTGCCTTGGGCATGGTCTCAGTGCAAGGCCCTGTGACTGGGTCTATGAATACCCTCCTGTCCACTAAGCCTTGGCTTTTAAGGATGTCCTGAAGATCTGGGATTCATCCCTGGTATCCAGGAGGCAAAGAGCCAAGTTGTTTTCCTGCTAAACTGGACTAGCAGAGGTGGCTCCTTAGGTCTTCATGATGGGGGCCTTGGCAAGGCCACCAGTCCCTGCACAGCAGACTGGAACCTCAGTCCCACATCAGATCACCATTTCTGCTGCTTTGCCCACAAGGTGCTGCGTAGAAGACACTGGGTTGAGGAGGGGGGTGTGTCACACCACTTGTCCTTCAGCCATGCCTCACTCCTCGGTCTTCCATGAGGTTTCTAGGACCAAGGAAAGTGTGTAGATACTAGGGTGTGGGCCAGGAGCCCCCCATTCTCCAGGAGACTGTTGGGAGTTCAGGGAAGCCCTGCTTGGGATGAGAGGGGAACTAAAACTCTGAACTAGTGGGGAAGCAAGCCTCATTCATATGGCAGAAGGCAGAAATAAAGTTGGGTGTTTGATTCATGCAATGTGTTCTGCTGATTGTGTACAAGGGCCTTTAGCTGGGTGGTGGTTCACACCTTTAATCCTAGCATTCTGGAGGCAGAAGGCGGGCAGATCTCTTGAGTTTGAGACCAACCTGGTCTATATAGTGAGTTCCAGGACAGCCAGGGCTACACAGAGAAACCCTGTCTGGAACTGCCCACACAAAACAAAAACAACTAAGGGTCTTTTTACCCCAAGTGCCTATATGGAGTCACAGGAAGGTCACACTCCACTCTCGAGAACCAGCCAGCCTTCAGAGGCATGTAGACTGGCTCAAGATGAGAGCAGGCAGCAGAGACAGCAGTTTAGCATCCTGAAGGTTGGCCTTTGCCATCTTCCTGGAGAAGTCACATGCTGAGATTGCCTCAGGGGCCATGAGGACTCTGCTGCTGTGTGCCCAGTCTAGCTGAGGCTTCAGAACTGAGTCTGGTTCCTGAATCTGAGGACCAGTGCTGGGCATCTATCAATCTTGTGAAAGGATCATGCTGTCATTTTATTGGCCTTGGTTATAGGAGGTGGTGAGGTCTGGCTGTGATAGGAAATTGGGGCCTTGGGAGAGTTTCTCAGAAGGGCAATAGCCCCAGTAGGAGATCAGACAGCATCAAAAATACAGCTGCCTTGAGACACCCAGTGTCCAAACCAGGCATATGGCACTGGACTAGGGTTCCCAAGGACCCCACTGGCAGAGGAGGGGATCTACTCTAAGATTCCCAACACAAGGCTGTCATGAGCCTCTCTAAGTTGTAGCTCTTGATCTCCAAATCCAGTTTTCAGAATCTCTCTGGGGGGGGGGATCAGGGACAAAGTTGTCCTTTGCTTCCTCACCACAGGAAGCCACATGTCCATGAGAGCCTGGTCTTCATGCCAGCTCTGAGTAATGGCATGTTCCACAAGATCCATTCTGCAGCGTGCACAGTGGTCCAGGCCTTGAAGCTCATTAGCCTGGAGGCTAATCAGAGTGGCTTAGCCACCTCCCTAACATAGCTATGTGGTGTTGCTCATTACTGGATTCACCTATTCAACAGGTACTTAGAATGTCCATTAGGCACCAGGGATACCATGAACAAGGTAGGGAGAGGGATAGAAAATAACTTGCCAATAGGTAGCCATCTTGAATTGATAAATGGCAGGGACTGGGGAACACTTAGAGGCTGTTGGTTAGGAAGAGCCCCTGTAAGAATGTGTGCACAGGCCTAGGGATTACCTGTGAAAATGCTAGGGTAGGGCCACCAGTGCAAAGGTCCTGGGGCAGGAAGAAGCAAGGGGTTTCTGGCCACCAGCATATTAAGTAGAGTGAGGCAGGCAAGGACACACCAGGGAGTGACGAGGCAGGTTTTTCTCCTAAGAACAGCCTGGAGCAACAAAATGTAACTTAAGGAGTAACAAAATGTAACTTAAGGCTTAAGAAAGCATTCTAGATGTTCCATGGGACATAGATTGGAAGCAAAGAGACTTGGCCATGGTAGTCATGAAAGAGAGTGAAGGGGGCTATGGGATTGGACAAAGGTGGGTACCTTGGGCATATTTTTGGGTTTGAGGCAGCAGGAATGAGGAGGGAAGCCAGGTGATCAGCAACCCTGAAAGTTGAACCTAGGGAGAGGTAGGGCTGGGGGAAATGGATGTGTTAGGTCCGAGTCAACTATATCACATGGGTGGGCCAATGAAGGGGTAAGCGCAAAGGTCCTGGGGCTCAGGGGGATAGCAGGATAGATGTGCCATAGCATCTGGGGGGTGCCATTATTTGGTGGAACTCATGCAGAACTTAGATGCAGGAAAGGAGGGAGACAGGACTGGACAGTGTTGTATGTTAAAACTATGGTTCTAGAGCTCAGCACCATCAGCCCTTCACCTGCTGGCCTTTGGCTGTGGTGGCTGAGCAGTATATGCTAGACATCCACAGCAATCTCGCTGTGCTGTGACTGTCAGTGGCATTGCCACATAGTCCACGTGGGGTGAGCAGGATCACATTCACCGTGTGGTTCATGCTCCTCGCCTAAGAGGACACAGAAAGGGGCCTGGCACCTGGTCAGTCACAGGAGTGGGCTCTGCAGGTCAGGCTGCAGATGCATCAACAAGAGTATGTGTGTGGGACCAGGAGCTGGGAGCAGCCGGAGGGTATGGTGGGGTGGCAGGAAGGCTGTCCAAGTGGGAGCAAAGGCTGTGTGAGCAGTGTGAGGAAGTGGCTGGAGGAATGGAGTCTGGAGGGAGGGTCACCACATAGAGTGTTCTGGAAATAAGGTCTCTTGGAAGGGAGAGTGTGTAGCTCAACAAGGGGGTCTGATCAGTCCCCCAGGGATCTTTAGGTCAGGGAGGGCAGTGCTAGAAGCTGCTAGGCCCCACCCAGGAGATTCAGGGCCACCATCTCAGCTCTGAGATGTCACACATCTCCCTAGGTTCTCATGGCCAGTTGGGTACAATCATCTTGCCCTTCTCAAAAAAAATGTCACCTATATGTCCCTGTAATCTGTTTTTCCAAGAATGTCACTCTGGGGCACCATAGGCACACTGGGTCTGAGCATATTTGTGTGTCTGCCATGCACTGACAGGCTTCCCCCATTCCTCACCAACAACAAGGGGTGGGGGTGAGGCAGCAAATCCCTAGACCACAGCCAAGTGTGAACCTGTGCACAGAGCTTGAAGGGTGAGCTGGGCCTACTGAGGAATGGTGGGTCTCTGGCTGAACAAAGCCCAGGAAAGGGCTGGTTGCATATGCATCCTGGGGAATTCCCTGGTGCTGAGACAAGTTACTGCCCTCCTAGCTGTAGGGTGGAAGGACATCTTTCCCCGGTTGTGGCCATCTTGGGCTGATGCCTGACTGGTCAATAAGTGCCCGGCATGGCCTGACACTTGGTAGACTTAGATTTGCCCTTCAGGGGAGAACCAGATGAATGTTTCTCAGTGGAAATGAGGTAAAGTGGGGTTAAGGGTAACCATGGTTACTGTTCCTGCAGCATCCTAAAGACCTGGCCCTTTAAAAATAATGGGCCATAAAACATCCCATCGGATGCCCATAGCTGTCTGGGAAGTCTCTTGGTTTGAGTGTGGCTGGAGAACATGGAAAGGCAGGTCATCCATGTCTCCTTGGGACTAGCAGGAATTTGTCTCAGTAGCTATTTCCCAAGCTCCCATGGCTACCCTCAGCCCTTTCTCAGCGAAGGGGCTACTAGGACCTCTTCATCCCCTGTGGTTGTGGGCCCAAGCCCAACCCAACATATGGGAAGTGTGTATCAGTAAGACCTGCCTCAAGATTGCTGTCTCAAAGGGACAGGTGAAGCTGGATCTCCTTTTTAACCTGGCCTACATGTCACCACCCTCTCTGGTTGTGGTAGTCCCACCTAACTGGAGGGCTGGGTGTTAGGGCAGCCTGAGATGAGGAGGCATTGCTCTAAGTGCCTCAAATGGCTGGGTGTGGTGGTCTGAGTCTGAACTGGTGAAAGCCTGGTCTGTGGGGTCACAGAGGTCACATGCCAGCTCTCACAGTGGTGGTCATGAGGAGTGTAGGTCCAGTAGACTCACCTGAGGTGGGGATTGAGAGTGGACCCCTGTAGTTGGTTGTTGTTTTTACTCTTTGCTCTTTGGGGGCCCGGCCACCCAGCTTCCAAATAAATCACATGGAGACTTATCCTTACTTATGAATGCCTGACCTTAGCTTAGCTTGTTACTAGCCAGCTTTTTTTTTTTTTTTAATTATCCCATCTATCTTTTGCCTCTGGGCTTTTATCTTTCTCTATTCTATATACCTTTCTTTACTTCTTACTCTGTGGCTGGCTGTGCAGCTGGGTGGCTGCCCCTGGAGTCTTTCTTCCTTCTCCTTTTTCACTCACTCTTTTCTCCCCCGATTTCTCCTCCTATTTATTCTCTCTGCCCTGCCAGCCCTGCCTATCCTTTCTCCTGCCTTGCTAGTGGCCATCCTGCTCTTTATTGGATCAATCAGGTGTTTTAGGCAGGCAAAGTAACAGCTTCACAGAGTTAAACAAATGCAACATAAAATAATGCAACTCACCTTGGCATCATTGAACAAATATCCCACAGCATAAACAAATGTGACACATCTTTAACTAATATTCTACAACAGACTCCATTTTCAGGGATTGATTTATGTACATTTCTACAGTGCCCTTCAGAACTGGGAGCCTGGCTCTTTACACACAAGGGAACTACAAGGCTGTGGAAAAACTTCCTTGAGGCTAGGGGTTAGGGGAGGGCCTGGTTCAAAGTTGGTCTTTTTAAAAAAATTTTTATGTGTTTGAGTGTTTTGCCTGCATGTATTTATATGCAT